GTCAATGAAAGCCAATAAACTAGAGTGGATGCGAACGCGCGGTATTTGACCTATTATCGCGTACCCTTGCAAATGGGAATGTGTGCCAAATTAAACCAACTCTATATTTTCCATGCGCTATATTGAGCACGTTAAAGTGCACGCAATACATACGAGTGTAAGTGTATTCTCAGCCGAATGCGGTCAACAACTGCAACTTATTCGTATATGGTAAATATGTACATACATATATATTGCAATGCTCCTTACAATGATTTCTGCTTTCGTTTTATACTTTTATGCTCAGAAATGTAAAAAGCTTCACTGCACTATATCATCCTGCCAAACTTCAAATTCACCATTTTGTTTTCACTTTAATATCTCATGTCTTTATGCACAATTATTTTGCAGTAAATGAAAAGAATCAAATAATTTCCAATCAGCGGTGTTTTTTTTGCCGTTGCACATAACTGTTCAAATCTCACACTTTGTATTATTACAAATGTCAAAAAGTAACGCGATGCACCTTCACAACACTGACACTGTGTTTACACTCGCTTCATTATTTTATTCGGCAAGCATAATTAGCTTGGCAAATATATAATATATAAGCACACATGTACACATTTCCTAATATTTTTACCTATGTATCTACCACACAGTKAGCACTTTCCTACCAACAAAATTTTAAATTTTCCAAAACAATTGTAAGTTCCTTTTTTTCCGAGTTTTTGAACTGTCCTCCAGCGCGATGCAACTGCAACTGAATTTATCCTACTCGTTATATGTCCKTGTTGGCCTAGTCTACCAGTTTGATTTGGCCTCCATCGTTTCGAGTAATCGGCTCGAGCGCACATGCAAGTTGACCGAATTTTTACTCCACTGCGCAGTGGAAATAATTTCTATTGCATTTCCTTCAAATGCACAAACACGCTCAGCAGCCTTCATATGTGTATGTGTACACTGGTTTGCATGTGGTATTTTCTGAATGACTGCACTTATTTTTGTTGTTGTAAACCCCTCTTAGATCATTCGGCATCTGTCGTTAGTTGAGGGTTCGGTACTCTTTTGATTTTTCACAGCGGCAGCAATGTTGTTACATCTCAATGAACTCGCCATTTAGAGAGAAATATACATACATATTTGCAGCCTATATGTACATATGTATGTACATCAGCTGCACCTCTTTCTTGTGAAAGTTCAATGCACTACTGTCCACCGCCCTATCGGACAGTGTTTGCAAAAGGTGTAAGTTAAGTTTTAATAATGTGTGCCATGTATACCCTTCTGATTAGAACTTATGGTATGGCTCATAATGTGGAATAGATATAGTAAATACAGCTAARCTACTTCCGTTTATTTGAGCAGGAAATTTGCTCCTAAAAGTATGTTGCTTATTTGTAATAAGGAATCGTACCAAGTGTTTTCTTCTTAAGTAGCAGGCTTCAGTCAAATAATAAGTGACGTCATTAAAATGTGTCATTTAAAATTAATAAAAAAAAATATTTTATACTTCATGATTTTTATAAAAGTGTATGCATGTAATTTATTTATATATTTATTGAAACTTGACATAAATTATTGCCCAACGCAACGTTACAATATCCGAAACATTTTCTTGATCGAATTGCTATGGCATATCTCTGCCAATGAAGTTATTGTATGAATAACTCTTTTATTGTGAAAATCGGGTTTTCATCTAATTTTCAAAATTTATTTTCGTTTCGTTTCATCCCATTGTGTTTCGTGAATACAAAAAATAATAATTCATTCCAATAGGATGGCAACCACTCATTGCATTGYCAAAAATGAAAGAGCCATTTGGTGGCAACGAGTAAGTAGCACTGTCTCTTTTGCACAAATACATTTCGAATTCAACGGACATGCCAGCCGGTTTTTGGACATAGAGAGTGTCAGTGTTTACTTGTCACGTCAGCTTAGTACTTTTTACASGCACCAACTGCGTTTTTGTTGTTTCTTTTATGTGGAAAAGTTGGAAAACTGGTTTTGGCCACAACTTATAATACGACAAAAAAATATTTGCTCGCGCATATGAGTCATTATATGCTTCTTAGAATCTTATGGTTACAATAACGTATGCATTTATTTAWAAATGCGAACAATGGAAATATAATAATTAATCAAAATGATATTTAATTTAATTGATTGAAGCATTATTTATTACCAATTACGCAAGATTTGGTAATAATGTTAATGAGTTTTATGCAGGATTTTGTGTGGCTTATGTTCCAATGCTATTCTTTGTGTTTAAAACCATACTTATAACTATGTGTGCCCTATGTCATTGATCAGCTGTGGCATATTCCTACAGCTGCTGTCAGTACTAAGCACTTGTTGACAGCTACCTTTAAGTACTATTTTAGAAACGTCTACTACTCTTTTACGACAGCATCACAAAATGTGTATCTCACACACTGTACAAAACTCGTGTGAAAAATTTCTCCCTCAGTTTTCTTGCTGCTTCCACAAGCGATAGTTTGCTGTGTTGTCAAAATTGTGATTTTTTTTAAATAGAGGCTAACATAAACCTGTCTGAAGTAAATTTAGTATTTCTTTATGAACAAAAGTTGTCAAACACGAAGTGTTTTCAGCAAGCATAAAGACTGCGAAGTGAGTAGAAAGTGTGTGAGATCATCAACCGGTGAAGGGACAATTGGAAAACCCCAAACGAAAAGGTGAGTACTTACCTATCACTTTTTTTTTGCGCAAAATTAGCCGACAATTATCTAACAATGCGTTTTATCCTTAATAAATCCATGGTAGGAAATGTCTGCAGTAGATACTTTAAAATGGTGTTGTGTGATTTGAATTGAAAATTATAGCTCAATATTTCACTAAAAGAAAGTATTTTATTGAACAATTACGGATTCCGATGKCTTCTCAACCATCTCAGTTGACGTCTCCGGTTGGATATTAACTTTTTCCTTTTTGGCGCAATTGCATTGATTGACTAATGTGCGAGTGCAACGGGACGATTATAACATGCATATGAATGGAATTATTTGCACAAAAGAGCGAGCGAGTGCGTAGATTATTGAACATCTTTTGTTTGATGAGGTTCCAGTGTTGATTCTTCTCTTGAGGAATCTGTAGGTAGAAAATGTCTATTGCCTAAGTAATCTGGCTATTGAGTTATTAACCCGCTCTTACCTGTTGGTCTTCTCGACTAACTAATCGGGATTTTTCTCAATTTTGCTATGCGCCGTACTTCTTACCATATCTCAGTGGTTCTTTACAATGTTGTAAGGTTGTGTATACGTACGCAGTTGTTAAAAGAAATGTACACTCAGGCATATATATTATGTATAAAAATTGAATCATTGCGCGACAGCGTTGGTGGAAACTATCACCTTCATTTTCAAATTTGTGGTTGGCAATTAAATTTGCCTCTGAGAATACCAAGCAAGTTCAAGAAACGTGTTTTTAAGCCTTGATTAGTTTGTGAAGTGATGGGGTGAAGTAACCTATAAAGCAACAGAAAACCAGGTACGCGCGCTTTGAATATTGAATTATTCAATTAGAGTAAAAAGTAAAATGTGGTGCACGTAATTATTTTAGTTATACCAAAAATACTCCAGTTAATATAAAGTGYATACCATTTTAAATATTAACATATAAGTGATATTCAAAAGTACTGTTTGAGTATACAATATTTAAGTATGGCTTGATTTGTATCTGACGTGCGCTAAAACATGCACAGAATTCTGTAGTGATTTTGATAATTTTATACACCGGTCAAATATTCTCATTCCGCATTCTAGACATCAATAAACATCAAAAGTTCTCATTTTCATTACACATTCGGAATTGTATCTGACGAATGTATCTTTAATTAAATAGCAATTGCTTCAGTGTTTTCGTGTGTGTGTGTGTATACTTTCCCATTTACAGATGTATACATGTTCCCACAAATTAAATCGGCTTGAAGTTGCCTTGAATATGCCTCCTGTAATAGTGCTGAGCCGTTGGGCTGCTGGTCGTCGTTTCAGTGTCAATGGCATTTACATTTTGTATGAAAACGTTGAAGCTCATTGTACTCATTTCTTCTTCAATGTATCTTATTTTAATACGTTTTTTTTTTGTAAATTGCTTTTGCCAGAGCCTCTTTACTGGTTTTACATACACAAACTATGTAGCTTTTTAGTAATTCTATTTGTACAATTTCATTAATGTATCTCTCGTTTTGGTGGTTACTGATATTCTCAGTGTAAAGCCTCATCAATGTAGCAAGTTTTTTTCAATATGTGTACATACCAATGTGGATTTTTTAACATTTTCAAGAACGGGTTGATCAACCTTATTTGCATTTTTCCTTATTCCCAGCTTTTTCACGCACTTTCGTAATTTTTAATCAGTTTGTGAAAGAATTGTCAATCGATTTGTCGTTTCTAGTAGCTCGAGAAACAACGGTCGTGAAAACGTGTAGGCGGTGATGGATTTGAATACTCGAGATAGTTGATCTAAACTCGGCACAAATTGTGAAATTATAAGAAAGGTTTCATAAAAATTTATATTTGAAATATATTTATCAATTAATATTAAATAAAGTTGTAAAAACCTATTTGGAAATATATTATTCTAAATGTTTAAAATTTCAATTCCTAGAAATGTATGTGAATAATATAGTAAATCTTCTTCTTCTTGATTGGCGTAGTCACCGCTTACGCGATTATAGCCGAGTTAACAACAGCGCGCCAGTCGTTTCTTCTTTTCGCTACGTGNGGATGTTCTTAGGCTACCCAGAGGATACTTGGTCAAAGACCGGAAGTCGTGAGCTGCTTGAGTCATATGTAAAAGAATCGTTTCTGGCCACTCCCACGTGAATGGCGATCAGAAAACTTTCCTCACTTGCGTGAACTTGTACACATGACTCCATCATAGTAAATAGATATGATATTTTGCATTAGTAAATTAAAAAGTGTGAATTATTTTAATTAATTATATTCGTAATGTAATTTTAGAGATTAYTAGTAAATTTCCTACAGGTCCTTGTGAAATAAAGTACAGTGTTGCTGTGTTTCACCAGTGTTGCTTCGAAACGCACGCAAATCGTTTGTTGTGAAACAACGAATGAGCGAAGGAAAACGTGCAAAGAAAAGCAGACATTTTGATTTAGTTTTTTTTTTTTGATTTTCGTATCGGTATTTAGTTGCAAATTTCATATGTAATTTTTCGCGTTTTGAAATTACTTATATTTTGTTTTTACATTAAGTGCGCACAATTTAATGTTGGAGATTTCAACAATTTCGGAAAAAATATCGACMCAGCCTTATAGCAAACTAAAGAAGCCGTAAGTGAATGTATATTTGTACATATGTTGTTAAATCGTATATGCAGTGAAATTAAAAAGTGCAATTTCGGAAGTAATAGAAAAGTAAACGTAACTTCTTGATAAGAATAATTATGAGTATTTATCTATGAAGAGGTTATTGCACTCACCGAGCTATGTGGAAATAATTTTACACATGAATTGGCACGCTAAAATTTTGCTTGCGTTGCATGTCTTGCCACATTTCCTTATTTCATTGGATTTACAACCATTTATTTAAAGAATATGTGCATTTATTAACAAATTTTAATTTTCAGAAGTTGTATGCAATAAAAGTTGGTGCGAAAATATTATAAAAAACGCCATTAAACATGTCTTGGGTACCATCAACTGACTTTGAAGAGGAAATTGTTGATTCACAACCGGGGCATAATTTTATTTTTGGTCAACTGTGTGAACCAACACAACAAACTTTTTATCCACGTCCAAAAGAACATTTGGAGTTTGTAGCGCAACAAAAATCTGCGAAAAATAAACGTGAAAACACTTTAACAAATTCTCAAAATYATAAATTGAATCTTATTGCAAGGGTGCAGCGTATTGCTGGTACTAAACCGTTGGGTGAACAACCGACCATCAATGATTGGGATGACAATGACAATGTAGAACGCGAAACTATCGCTTTGATGAGACATGTTGGTCTCGGTCCTAGTTTGGAGCAACCATTAGACGAAGTCCGCACCATAGCCACACATCCCATAACAGAGGAGATGAAAATAAATAGAAATGGACGCAAACACATGCCAGTATTTTTTGATGAGAAATTTTTTGAATTAAAACCGCGTGTTTCCCGCTCATCCTCATCTTCTGGCAACAATAGTCCTGTAATTGATGATGCTAAGACTAACCTTAATGATTCCTGCGCGTCACAGAAGAGCAGCAGCAGCCATGCCACATCAAGTGAATTAGCGAATGATCGATCTTCTGATACTCTTAATAGTGGATTTGAGAGTGCAATAGATATTGTCGGTGATGAGGACAGTTTTGAGACTGCACGAGGAAGTGATAAGGGGTACAGACCGCAAAATTGGAGAGGAAATGAAGTAGAAAAAAATGCACAAAATTGGCGCAAAAATGACACATTTATTAAGAGTCAATCATGGAGGAGTACGAAAGCAACATACGCAAATAGAAATGGAATTAATAGAGAAAGTCAGAATAATGTATGTAATTGGCGTTCTTCAGCCGATAAACCAAGTAGTAAAGAGAAGAGAATTCAAATGAAATCACCTTTATTATGTTCACCCAAAGAATTGTATGAAAAGAAACGTCAAATAATTTAAAAACGACAGAAAACAAAATTCAGGATAAATATAATTTTATAGGTGGTGAAAAATTAAAAACAAATCGGTTTCTAACAAAATTTAACTATTAATTTTTAATTGGCAGTTGTGGGAAAAATACATTGTTTTAACAGTACTTTAAATTTKTATTGTAAAAATTACATAAAACATAATAAATATCTTGGAGTGCACGTCTGTAAAATTATAAAATCTAACTGTCAAAAGTCATAGACGTCATATATAAAAAACTTACTACTTTTTGCGGGTTCAAACAGTGTAACCATAAAAATAAAAAAAAAAATAAAAAACTAACTTGTTGAAAAGGGAACGAAAAAATATAAAATTTATGATGATATGAAGTGAAGATACTACGTATTTGATTGAAGAGTTTACATTCAAATAGCATGTGTTCCATACTATTTAACCATTATGTTCTATATCATCATTCGTTTCTAAAGCAATTTATTGATTTATGATGAAAAGAAAAATCCYACTTGTCTGTCTAAAACTGTTAATTTTGAAGATATTTTAAATTTGCCAATAATAAGCAATTGGTTAATACATATACAACTGTACACCGGTATCCATACATATTAGAGGCATAACTCTTTTTTGAGATATATCTTGCATGTGTGTTGCAAAACTTTTTCCCCCATTACACATTCCTTTTTTATACCATCGTTTTGCAACATGCATTTATAAAATCTAAAATTATAAAAATGAAGCAATTTATACTTAATACTTTAGAATAAAGTATATATTTMAAATGTGTACACTGGTACATTGCCGAGCAATATATAAAACCCTTTATTAAGAACAATRTACCGTTAAAAGACCTGTCTATATGTATAGTTTGATAAATATAAATGTACATATAAAAGTATAACACAAAGGACAAATAATTGTCTAAGCGAGATCCATCGATTTTAGATCAAACCTTCTTCTTGTTGTTGTAACGGCAGAATTCTTTCAAATTCATCAAACCTTCTTCTTAATTGGCGTATAAGTCCTCAGAAAACGCCATTGCTTTTGCAATATATACATATTATTTTAGCAAAATATGGTATCCTTAAAATTTTTWCGATAAATAATAGTTTTACCCTTCATGAGGTAGAGCGCAAGTTAATTGACATTGAAGTCATCTAACGGGAGTACAGGAAACAAGTGGTTTCGATAGAACTATAGGGAGTTGGTTTAATGGGGTATTTTGTTCTTGTTGTAACTGTAGAAACCATTCCTGAAATAATTTTCAAGAACACCGCCGAAATGACAGCGACCTACGCTCTATTGTGCACTCCCCTATATCATATATGGTCATCAAGGCTCAGCATCCTGAATAATTCCAGGAGCATTCTGCGCGCGACTGAGGCCTGCTTTTGCAAATTGCTGGACAATCTAGAATTAAGTGTTCTGGGGTTTCCTTTTCCATTGCGCATTACCGGCGGTTTGCGAGAGACTATACCCATGTTGGACATATCCTTTCTGTGACTGCAGTGCCATTTGTGTTGTTCTCTCCCYACTTTCTCTTCCGAGCGCAGCAGCCCCTTAAGTGTGTGGGATACCACAAAGAGGAGGTTAGTGTCATGCGGGAATTCATTGCATCTAAAACAAAAGTTAGGTATGTCGTGGTCTATTCTGGATAAGTAGAAGTCTAACTTAATCTAGTATTTGGAACATTGTGAGACGGTCACAATTGAAAATAGTTTCGTGCCCATTTTCAATCATTCTATATCAACTTTCTGATAAAAATACATTTTTTCTTGGTATTTTCAATGTCTTTTATACTAAAATCGAAAAAAATATACTGGGCGCACGAATTTTATTGTCTTTAAACGCTCAGCTCAGATGTTCAAAGATACAGAGGTAACGTAAAATTACTGTAATTTATTCATGTTTGTACAAAAATCAAGGTCCAAATTGCTCTCAGAATATCGCAAAAACATATAGTTTTCAAACACCAAACATTTTTTAATTTTTTTCTAGAATATTTTAAGTTAAGTTAGTAGGCTTTGAAATTTGTCGTTGCTGTAATTTTGTATTAGTTTGTATATTAGTACATACAATCTTCGAATATTTTTAAGTTTCCTTTGTATTAAGAAAATAAATATCTAAATTACACACAATTTATTTTTTTGTAGTTTGTATTGATTACATATATATACATATGTACATATATATGTTTAAGTATCATGAGTGTCAGGCAGAAAGCCCAGAAAAACCTTTAAGCACGACGGTGGTAGCATGATGGACTGGGGAATGTTTTGTACCGTGTTACATTTGTGATCAGAGATGGTAGATTTTCATACTTCAACATTCTCAAAAATTCAATGGAACCATTCGCGTACGAATCGCCATTTTTATGGATGACAATGATTCAAGGCACGCTGTTTACAATGTGAAAAATTGACTCACCGCAGAAATCCCGATGTAAATCTCATTAAAATTATGGGAGCATTGTTAAGTTGCAGAGTGCTGAAAAAAAAAATTAAAAAATTTTGAATTACTTTGCACTGACTGAGTTTGCTCCGACGACGCCAAGCAATTGAAAAATTGTGGACACACTACAAAATATTAACGTTGTGAGTGGTTAAAAGCAAAAACATTTAAAATATTTTTAATAAATTTTCTTAAATTCCGCTTAAGTGGCCCACTGTGTTATTTCTATGTCCAGTCCAAAATTCAAAATTCAATAATTTCTCTTTAAAATGAACAATTGAAATTAAATTAAAAAATTTTTTTTTGTACATAACTTCTCAATTTTTGCTATGCTTATGAAAAATTTAAATCTTGTAACATGTTCAAAGTATGCTATTTCTCTGTATATTCCTGTATGATCAACGGTAACACACTTGTTTTGAAAACAGTCTCTCCTCTACGACTATACAAGTAGGTATGTTTTACAAGAAACTTTGTTTTTGGAAGTATATTTCGACGTTACCGGCGTTATTGTGTTAAAAATCATATTTTTAAGGAAAATTCAAATATTGTTTTTATTTTCAAATACATATAATATACAGATTTTCCAACTGCGCGATATTGTTACACATTCACTTTTGTTTTGTTCGTTTTTTTTTTGCTGGCTAGCGTGCATTTTTAGCGCTGCGTGCATTAACCCCAGAAAATGGAGCTTTTCATGTTACGTATACCACATAGTGGTCACAAGTAGGGAAAAGAAAGGATGTGAGTAAAAAAAAAGATTTTAAATGTGCATTTACATACATACATGCTTAGTATAATATGTATACATATTTACATATAGTATGTATGTGTGTATCACATACATCACTTTGTATACATACATATGTACATATGTGTATTTACACCACAAGGAATGTGTATGCATTATGCCCGAGAAAAAAATTCATATAAAATTGAATTATGTATGTGAATTTATTTGTTGCATTCTATTTAATTCGTCATTTTGTCAACAAAAAAGGAAATAACCTTGTCGGATTGTGGAGAATGCAAGCAAGTAAATTTAAAGAAGATTAAAATGCAAAAAGGGAAACAGTAAAATAATACTTTTACTAAGAACTATATTGTGTCATTCACTAAGTAATTTCGTGTTTTTTAGTGCAATTTAAACATTTATTAATTCTGACCTCTCTGTTCGAGTGCATCACTCGTGAAGTGTCTTTTTGGCCATTTTAAAAGTAAACAGGACTTTTTGAATCTAGCGCCCCCTGGTGACGCCATCTACTATATGTSGACTGCTGCGTTAGAGTTTGCTATYGTTATCGATTGTCTAGTGAGAATTTCCTGACATTTCATTGATTGGAAGTGAAGTTATTGAGTTTTAACTGTCAGTATGTTTGTGTTATCGGTGCGAAAATGAGCTGCGRACAAAGAGCCAACATTACATTTTGTTTTAAAATGGATAGAACTTTTACCGAAACTTTTCAATTGGTGAAACAAGTTTATGGCGAGTGCACCAGTGGTTTCAGCCAACATGTGGGCCAATCAAAATCTGTGATCAGCGGAAATTCCATCGAAACTGTGCATGAATTCATCAAAAATCAGCCGAAATCATTATTGAAATTCATGGAAATGGAATATTTGGGCTTACGAAAGGTGTGTGCACGGTTTGTTCCGCACAAATTGACTGACGACCAAAAATTGCTCTCATCGATCGACGCTTGTGACCGATTATTTGACCAAAAATCACATTTTAACCATTAATCACTCCTCGTATTCACCTGATATGACACCGTGCGACTTCTTTCTTTTCGGAAAAATGCATTTGCCAATGAAAAGGAAAGCCTTATGCAGACGTAGAGGCCACTCAAACCGGCATACTGGCGGCATTCCGGSCAACGAGCTAAAACACTCGTTCGACATGCTTTTGAACCATGAAAAAACTGTATTTTTTAGCAGAAGRAGACTATTTTGAATAAAATTAATTGATTTTGCCGAAAAACCGTTTGTTCTGCCTTTTTTAAGTCCTGTTTACTTTGTATCATGATTCGTAATTTTTATTGCATCGAGTAAGATATACAAATTCATCATGGAAAGATGTACACAAGAGCAACGGCTACTATTCAATTTCATTGAATTCGGTACCGCCCGATTATAATCCTCATTTACTCTATTATATTATATGAAAATGTCTCTTAGATGAATTTTGTCCAAATGCAATGATAAACTTTCAATTTACATATTCGTTATACTTTTGAGTACATTTAATCGTTGGGTTCGTTGGGTTATCCTGTTATTTTGAAGTCAAATCTATTATATTATATATGTATATACACTGCTTGTATGCAGCCTTATTCCTCTTAACGAGCTCGCCAAACGACGAATTGTCAAAGGTTGACTGTATTAACCGCTCTCGACTCGAACGACCGACCAATCGACCGGCTGTCTGCAGCACAGCTGCTGCAAAAGCACCTTTAACTCTCCAAGCGACCACGTTGAGTTTGCAGGAGCCGAACGTAATAGAATAGACTACATAGCCATGGCTATAACATTGATTAAGTTCATGATGATGATGAGGACAATGATGATTAACACCATTATGCCGTTGTTATTGAAGCTGTTGTCTCATTGAACCGACTGCAAAGCAGAAATTGTGAAGTGGGAAGCAATCACGCAGCAACGTTTAAATAAAGCACAGGTGGTAAAGGGAGTCGTCCCCAAGCCATGGCAGGTTGGATGCTCTAAAACCGTTTTCGGCTGCAAACAAAAAAAAAAAAACGAAAGCAAAATAAGCTGAAAATTCGCCCAAAAGCGCAGCGAGAGCATAAACTTGCGAGAGCAAAGTCGCATAGGTGGATGTTTAAGATGCTCATGAGGACAATACAAAGCCAAGGTATGTTGGCTGTGGTTGGAGAAGAGTTGACATTGTTCATTGTTGCTGTACATACAGTACATTAGTATTAAATGGAGACTTCGTTGCTACTGCTGCCTGCTAATACTCTGTTCTTCCGTTCTTCCTGTGCTTAAAAATATAGAATAGTTGTTGGTAGATATTTAAGGTGGTGTAGGAAACGTAAACGACACGAAATCATGACGGCGACGGCGACGGCGACCTGCGATGACTCCCGACCGACAATATGACACGACGACAAGAGCAAAACGAACATCAGACAAATTCGCGGACTTGCTAGAGAAGCTGCTGAGCTGTGTATGCGTGTGCCTGTGGATAAGTGGAAGTGGAGCTTGCTGGCTGCAATTTCAGCGGTCGACAGCACACGCACACAACTGCAATGATTACAAAGGCTGTGCTTTTAATACAGCTTTGCCTGCTATACCTATAAGGCTGGCTGGATGGCTGTTTTGCAGCGCTGGCTGGACCCCAATAGTGAGACAGCGGCTGCCGCTGCTGCTGATGCTGCTGCCTGCTTATATGACTGACTGCCTTTACCTTTTTGCCTAATATGTGCCTGGCTTGCGATTCGGTCGATTGGTTGGTTGGTTGGCTGTTTAGTTCCTTGCTCGTTTGCTCGTATGTCTGCTCACTCGCCTGTTCGTGCGGTCGCGCCGACTCTCCACTTGGTGACGGTAAACGAAGATGGTGATGCGGAACGCAGTTTTCGTTTTGCGGCAGTTGGCGGTTTTGCAGTTTAACTTTGGCACTTGCTCGTTACGAAAGGAATCGGTATCATCTTAAATTTCCAATTTTTTTTCCAACATTAGCAAATTTTGCTTGCTGCTTCCTTATCGCCTTGGCCTGTTGGCTGGATTTTCAAAACCATTGTGCTAGTGTAGTTTGGCTTTTTGCACGCGTGGTGCCTGCTTTCAGACAATACTTACCGACTGATGAGACTTGAGCGTGGTGATTAAAACAAGAAAAAAAAAACGATATTTTGTGGTGTAGATACCTACCAACAACAACAGCAGATGAAATACAAAATGGTACACTTTTCGGTGTTAAGTTTAGTTTTTTTCGCTTTTCGTAGTGTCGAAGTTGTTCCGTTGCGTGCACAGACTTTGTGGTCGGAAAGAAATTATAAGACTTGAACAAAACCACACGATTAATACAGCTTATACATAAACAGCAATTATAGCAAATTGTGTGGAAAAACGGACACATTAGCTGGGAAAGTTAATAATGGTACACAATTTCTGCCTAAAAACAAATAATTTTCGGCGTAATGGAGCAAAGCCGGTGGTTATTTAATTGGCACCCGAAACATGTAAGTCGTATGTATGCCTAAAGAAAAAAAAACCAGCAATTAGAATTTTAAATTATATTGTAATAATATTAATACACGTTGTATATTACATTACAATTTAGTTGTATTTTCCAAATTACTTTTTATGTACTCATAAATGAGACTTATTGTTTGCGAAAGAAATCTGTACGAACACATTTCGAGGATACACGCCCTATGGCGGCGGCGCTCTTATGCACCTTATACATACATATGTGCACAAACATACATACACATGCACAAAAAGGTACAGAAAGACATATAACGATGTTTCTATGTATGTAGTATATACACACGCGCGTAACACGCAAGCACAAACACTCGCACATATTAATACCCTTCACCTTTTCCTTGTCTTAATTGAAAGCATTCCAAAAAAAAATGCGTATAAAGTATTATTGAAGATTAAAAAGGATATCATACCCCCAGCAACAGCCGCCGCGACAATCAACCAGCAATGTGTCCGTTGCAATAAGACAGACGAAAAAAACTTGTATTGCTGGAATTTCCACTTTGGCAATTTTTTTGTTGTTTGCTTCTTCTTCGATATGCACCTATTCCTATCTATATAAAAGTTCCATTCCATGGACAGACGAACGTCTCTCCTGCGCTAAAGCAGTCACAGCGTTAAATTCACAAGAAGAAAAAAAAGGAATTAAAAACTAAAAAAAAAAAACAATAAAAGGTTGAAAAATAGATGCCGACAAGTTCAAGTCTTCGCGGCGGCGAAAAAACACGTTAAATTGAAATGTGCCTCGAAACTGCACAGCAATAAAGCAAGCAGCTAGCAAAACGAAAACTTGTATTGGCTTTGCTACCTTGCAGGCGGTTGCCAATGCCATGTCGCTGTTGCTGCATGTGACGCGTTGCTGCGTCTAAAAATGCACTTTTTCCGCGATGTGCAGGCGCTTTGTGCCGGCGACTGTTGCTATGCCTGCAATACACACTGCATCAATGTTTGTTGCTACAGCGGCGGATGCTGTTGTCGTCCATCTCATACAACAATTCAAAACGAGATTGCTCCCAATCAACTGCCACCAAAGTGTAGCTCAGCCAAAGCGCGGTAGTTGTAGGCCGGCATTTTAAGACGACCAACAACCAACCCGCCATTGAACATTACGTGTCCACTGATTGTTGCTTACATTCACTCGCACTTAGGTATGTACATACATATGTATAGTATATGCAGTTTTTAGTGTTGTATTGGTGTTGTTGGCATGCCTTTATGCTCGCAAGGCGTTTGGCGGCGCTTTTGCGTACGTCGCTACCTTAGCTTTCTTATGGACCAAGTAATTTTAGCCAACAGCAAACGCAACGAAATGCAGCTTACCGGCGCACTGCGCTTTTTCGAGATTTTTTTCTCGCCCATACATACATATGTACATAGATGCAAGCGTGTGCGCGCGCTTTTTAACGACCTTTTCGGCTACATTGGCTTCTTTTGGCATGACCGGGAATGCCAGTTATTGCTAGTGATTTCGAAACGTGTTGGCATCGGTTGTGTATCTTTGTTTATGCAGTCGTCATATTTTCCACATTTAACTAGGTTTTTTATACATACAATGTGCAAGTAACTCGCATTCCAAATTTATTTTTAGATATTAACGCAGCAACTATTATTATATTCTGTATTAATAGCTATGATTTGATCACAAATAAACGGACATTTCTATTTCAGTTAACGTTTATTAATTGAATTGGTTTGGGTGCGTTAAATGATTGGTTCTGTTTAATAAGCGTTTGCGTTAATAGCATTTTATGTATGTATATTAATCAGCTGCGGCCGATAGCCCATGATGCTAGTGCTGCGTATTTTCTTAAGTTTGTATAATAATTGTATTATTATGTAAGCTTTTATAAAATAAAAAAAAATAAAAAAAATTAATCAGCTGTTTTTATATTTTTTGTAAATAATGAAATAAAACATAATTTTATTTGGTATAGTATTTTTGTTGATTATTAATTATATTAATTATTATATATTAATTAAATTAATTTATAATTATATTTTAATTAAACTAATTTAATTTTAATTATTAACTAATTTAGTAATTACTATTTTGTTATTTTAATTACTTAATTTACCAAACAGAAATTGTAAAAGAAATTAGGTAGTAAATCATGTATAAAATACTTGAGAGCACTGCTAATTGTTGATTTTTTGAAAGCTCGTCAAATTGTAATACAAATATTGCCAACAAATTGTCCACATAAATATTTTGTTTTGTATTTGATATTAAAACTAAACTATCTAAATCTGTGATCAAATTGTTGCTTTGTCTGCGAAATTTTTCTAAAAATAAGAAAATTTCTTAAGACTTTGATCAGTTTAGAACTTTTGACGAAAAAAGTCGCTAGTATAAAAAATTGTATGCTTTTTAACTTACTGTTAACGCTAACAAAGTCTAGCCAGGAAGAACTACTGTTGTAAACTCCTCTATAACCGAGTAAGCGGTGTCTACGCCAACAGTGGAAGAAGTAGAATCGGTAACCAAAATTTTAAACCCGGTATTTCTCGAAGCGCTGTTAACAGTATCGGAGAGATTTCTCTTCAACGGCAGGACCGATCGTCCTGGAACTTTTCGCATGACCTTCTTAGATACATATATTTGTCTGTACTTTTTTTGAGTAGCCGTCATTTTATCAAAACTCAAAATTCTGCCTAGTCCTTCTATTATTGCCTATATTCATCTATTGTAAAAAAATGCTTTTGGTTATTGATTTTGCCTTAATTTTAAGCAGAAAACCTTTCCTCGCCGGTAAACACCTTTTTTGTAGGTTCTTGTAAAGAAAGGCGCTGGGGCCAAGGGAATTCACCAAACAACAGTTTTCGTAGGTTCTTGTGGAGATAGGCTGTGAGATCATGGGAATTCAAAATTGCCGATTATTAATGAACTTTTTTTATTTTTATCTTTTTATTTATTGCATAAGATGTCTTCAGAGAAAAACCCTTTTTTTGTGATTGCAAGTCGCTGTACTATAATTTAAAAAATATAGTATTTTTTCAAAAAATAAAAATAAAATAATAATAATAATAATAATAGAAAAACCAACAAATATAAGATGGCACATTTTATATTCAATTGACTTTAAGATTGCAGGCTTTATGTGTTTATTTTATTTATTTATAAATGTGAAAAAAATAATACAATTATTTTTTACACGAAATAAGGAGCACTGGCTTTATGTGTTTAATATGCAGTAATATCCTTAAACCGACATATATTTGTGTATGATGTATGTGTGTACATCTAAAACAACCATTTAGCTTTTGCGCACGTTGCTGTATAGCCAAATTCGAGCCTACACTTCAATATACGCACATACTTTATGCGATGCCCCTACATCAGTGTACCATTATGCGATGCCTCTCCATCGGGCTCTGCAATGCTGAATGGTTGACCGGCTGTCGTTTGCAGCTAGCAGCAGCGGCAGCCGCAGTCAGCCAAAGGCAACAAGGCACTAGACGCAACAGAATGGCTGAAGGAGCATTCTTTAAGTGCTATAACTTCGCACTGTTGAATGTGTAAACGAATGTGCAAGTGGAAAGAAGAGTACACAATGCATAAGGTTATGGCAGGAGGACAGCAGCCGAAATCGACCAAAGCAAATGAAAGACAGGGCGAAATTTAATAGTGCTCGCATATGTATGTATGTATGTATGTATATTGGTGGCCTGTTGAACGTGCGTGCAATGCGAGTGCCTTTGTGAGTGGAGCGAAGGTTCTACCAAAAAGCTTGAGGGCGGCAATAGTTGGTGGTGGAAGCTGTGCTGTGTATGTGTGTGGAACAATAGCACGCAAACAGCGCGCAATGTCATTATCTTCTCCAGCGTTTACTAACAGCGCTACCTTGTAGAGCGCAAAGGCAGTCGGAGGCAAAGAATTAAGTAAAAAAAAAAATAAAATAAAGAAAACAGCAAATAAAAGAGTCAAGCCAACACAATGGCTAGCAAGCGACTTGTAGTGGCAACAACAATTTTTAATGCCTCATTGTCAGCAGCATCAGATCGGACAGGCGACTTCAATGAAATGTAAGCAAAAAAAAAGAAAAAGAAAATTTTTTTTGCACATTCTTTCTTGGCCATATTTTCGTTGCTCCATTGGCCCGTTCAGTGTTCGATCTCAACGAAAAATAAATTCGAAAAAAGCATGCTTAGTAACAATTATTTTAAACTAAGCCTACGCAATCAGACCAAACCAGAGCGCTGCTGTCTGAGTTTAGGTGATCAGTCTGTTTGTTGTTGTTGCGCTGCGAACTACAAGCTGTGTGAGAAATGTAAAGAATAGCAAACAAATATATTTCGAGCGAAACTTAATGTGATGACATTACTTTTGCACAAGCTGTCGCACTGCAAAGCCAGCCTCCAAGCCGCTTATGCTTATGCTCTCTACCTACAAAATATCAACTTTCTTGGGTCGTCAGCACCTTCTGTTGCCCATTACGCCGATACTTTCAATTTATCACACTGCACGTCTGGCAGCAATAGAGTTCATTTCTCTTTCGACTCCCTCACTCACTACTCCACACCATTCTATTTAAAACGTTATCTCCCCACCGGCCGCACTATTTTCGTCTACTTTTGTCTCTATATAAAAAATAATGCCTATATATACATACATACATATGTATATTATATATTCCTGGTTAGTTTCTGAGCGTTGCGTAGACAGTAAAGGTCGCAAATGAGTTGTAGAGAAGGTGAAAAAGTAAGTTTGTGTTGTGTCTTTCTATGGATGTGTCTATGTGTGTGTGTACCGAAAAAAATGTTAAGCTCGTTTTTTGCGCAAATTCGTATGCTTTTGCATAATTTTATTTTTTTTTTTACTTTCTTAAATTTTGTGCGCTGCTAACGCTTATGGTAAACTCGAATTCGTAGCACGAAGTGGTAAACTCCTCGGGCCAATTTTTTTTAATTTGATTTCAACTATGCTCTTCTCAATGTGTATTGTTCTTGTTCACTATGCTTATGCGCCCACACATATTCTTTTTTTTTTTCCTTTGTTGCATTAGCATGAGTTGCCGGTTTGCTCTCCTGTGAGCTGATATGAGCTGCTGGTACGCATGCGTTTGCCTAGTCCGCGCGCGTAGTGAGTGTTGCTGCTGTGGAGCTGCTGCTTTTGCTGCTACTCGGGGCCACTCTGCTGGTGATACAAATGTGTAAAGTGAACCATGACCATGCCAAAGAATGAAAAATTACAGCACAGCACAGTACGAATCGCAATCAAGCGAACAGGAACTACGCAATACTTGCCATGACAGCAGCCACAGCCGCAGCCAAAGCAGTCAATGTTAGCACAAGTTACAGTGAAATCTCCAAAAATATTGCAAATAAAGGAAATTGTATTTTTTTTCCATTGTTCTTGCTCTTGGCAATTTTGCTCCGGGTCGTTCGCCAATTTTTACTATTATTTTTTATACAAATGTTTGCATGTATGTAGACACCGGACTCCTGGTACATTCGTACATTGCTCCAGCGCCCAATTTTCATGATTGGAAAATAGTTGTCTACTGCTTCGAGCTCCCCGTTTTATGGTAGTACCGCCAGGAATTGTTGTGTTGGTGCGCATACACGTATGCAAGGTGTTTAACGTGGCCGATACTTTTGTACCTCTTTGCTTTTGCTGGCACATTTTTTTTTGCCCGCCATTTATATTCGTACATGAATATAGAAATCAGGTTTTTGAGTATTTTTTTTGTCGTTACGTGCTTAAAATAGAATTCAGTCATCGAAGATTAATCGCATGTAGCGGCTGGGTTAATAATTTAATCTACATGGAAGTGTGGCGTAGAAGTTTGTAGAGTTCGTTGTTGCGAATTTTGTAAGTTGAAATATTTTCGGATCAAAGAGTAGAAAAAAAAATATATAATATATATTTTGTAAGTTGAAATATTTTTAGACCATTTCACCAAGTACAAAAAATAAAATAAAATAATTTCTTATATTATTGAGCGTAATTTACTTTTTCAATTTCTTATGTTTATTAAACAAAGCCTAAATGTTTACGTTTTTCATACACTTATTAAACGAATTGCTTAAATATGTATAATATAAATTAAAGCATAATTTCAATTATGTTTATGTTAGAAAAATATAAATATCGCCCTCATATTATTTCAACTTCATTGAAAAATTGTAGACGAGCTTGACTCCCTAAAATTTCACGCCTATACTGCAAAAGGAGTAAACGTGCTAACAGCGTACAAAAAAAGAAGAACACATATAAAATTTATTGAATTTTAAAAAATTGGTGTGGGTTGGGGTTTGGGAGCCCAAGCTATTTTCAAGTTTCGTCGTGTTAGCATTTTTTGTTTCAAATGTTTCATTGTTATCTCTTTCGAAAGAAATATAATCTCTGTACATATTGCTGATGGTTGGCCACTGATGATAAAAAACGTTGGCTTCGGCTGCACCGAAGCTATAATACCCTTTACAGGTGCTTTTCGTTAGCATAAATGGGTTTAAAAATATCTTTATCTTGATTTAGATAAGAAAGTTTGTATGGAGGCTAGAGGCTATAGTTCTCCGATTTGAACAATTTCTTCGGTTATTGTACTTTTGCCTTGGACCGTAAACTGTGTTAAATTTTGTGAAGATATATATTGTCAAATTAACCAGTTTTTCATACAAGGGAAATTATTTGATAGCTCCCTTTGTATGGTAGCCATATACTCTGGAGGTCCGATACCGGCGGTTCTCACAAATGAGCAACTTCTTGAGGAGTAAAAGATGTGTGCAAAATCTCAGATCGATATCTTAAAAAAATATATATGAAGTTACATATATAAACTATTTTTAATATTCCACAATAACTTATATTATTTTTAATTAACTAATGAATTATTATTTTCTCATCTATTTTCAGCATTGCAACCTGAGTATGTATTTTACAAATACGGCGGGACTGACAAAGTTTCGCTACAATTACAGTTAGAAAAGTTGGACGTAACGTAAAATATTGCAAATAAACTTTATAGCCTCAGTATCAATGGATTATAAATATTAACCTGGCTGGTTTTAGTTATGCTGTAGTTATTTTTTTTTATTGAAAAAATCAATGTAAGCAATATTAAAATTGTTTAATTATATATTTTTTATTATTGTTTACCAATGTCATTAGCGAAGTTCTGTCAGTTCCCCCTTAACGGCTTTCAAAATTAATGCCTTCATTGTGTAATACCTAATGATTGCATTGAAAATGAGTTTAGTCAACAAACATGATGCTAACTGCAGATATATTTAATAACAGTAACCACAACAACACAACGTAGAGCGACAACAGCATCGGCGCTGATACTGACGCTGACGGCAAATGCAGACGACATGCCGTTGTCGACAATTATGCAGCAACAACCATAAGGCATATTACGAACATTAGTCATAGGCCAGCAAAATACCAAAGAAGGCAACGGCACGGCACGGCACGGCAGAAGAAAAAAAAAACGTCAAACAACCACATACCTTGATAAGTATTAGAAGCGTTAAGCGTAATTTGGTGAGAAGCAAGGAAGACGACACCGTCGCAAACACAACCCGCTAACATGTCCGCTTCGCTAATGCCTTTGTCTGAGTCGCAAAAAGTGGATGGCAATGGAGATGGTGGCGCTCGTGAGTTCGTCGAAGGTTGGACACTTGCGCAAACACTTGGCGAGGGTGCCTACGGCGAGTGAGTAGATACTTTGTTGTATTTTCGTTATTAGTTGTGCTTTAAATTAATATATATTTTTTGTTTGTTTTACGATTTTACAGTTAAAAACTGAAAGTATGCTAGTTGGCAAGTTAATGGCGTTTAATTAGTAAAAGTGGGGTTAAATACGTTTGTAGCGCACTTCATGACTGTTGAAGAACGTATTTCGAGCATTTCAAGCATAAATGCTGCACAATTTCCGTACCAAAATAGTGTGTTAATAATGTTTGTACATTTTATTTCGAAAAAATACGAAAAATTGCACACTTCTGCGCATGTCCGCATTTCGCATGCAACTCTTGTAATTTACTGAATCAATTTCGGTACATATTTTACTCCCATTTATTGGAGTGTAAGTGCATAAATGAGTGTATGTGGTTTTAAATTCGGTTTACACTTGGCATTTCATTGAAATATTTGCAAAATATTTTTGCAAGACTCATTAGATATTTATTAAAGAAAAATGCTTACTTTAACCAAAAAAAGATCATAAATTGACTGCTCAATTCTGCATAGTTAGTTCTTGATATTCGTTATGAAATTCAACATTTGCAACCCCCACGCAATAAGCGCAACAAAAGTAAAATAATGAAAACAAACGCTTATATGCTTTGCCAGTTTTGTTGGTATGTTATTGGTACCATCGAGCAGGGATTATACGACGTGCGAGCAGCAGCGTCAGAGCCCACAACTCTCGGAGAGTTGTAGTAACAATTCGTGTTTAGCATGTCAGTCGGTCGTGGACCTGCGGTGTGCTGCTTTGCGACACCACACATCGTTATGTAGCCAGTAAAAAATTCGCAGCTGTCCGTCCGCATATCCAGTCTTACACTTTAATGCATACCAACTGGGTTCATACGGCGCTCCAATCGAATTCTATTGTCTAATATTTTATTTGGGAGCACTTTTTCATACATACATACTCATAAGTATGTACCTGCATTTGTGTGTGTGTGTGTGTGCGTGCGTATGTCTACACATCTTTGTGGCTTTAGCGCTCTTCTAACTCGTTTATTTTTTTCTTCTCGTCTTTTTCGCAGAGTGAAATTGTTGATTAATCGTCAAACCGGCGAAGCTGTTGCCATGAAAATGGTTGATCTGAAAAAGCATCCGGATGCTATGCTCTCTGTACGCAAAGAAGTTTGCATACAAAAATTGCTACAAGATAAACACATTCTGCGCTATTTCGGCAAGCGTTCGCACGATGATGTCGAGTACTTGTTTTTGGAGTATGCAGCCGGCGGTGAATTATTCGACAGAATTGGTAAGTAAATTGAAAAGTGTTGATGGCTGATTAATTGCTTTTTGCATATGCATACATAAAGATATATGTACATACATATATACCACAAATGTTTGTATATACCGATTATAAATTAGTTAGGTCTGCAAATTCGCTTGTACGCAATTAATAATACATATTTTCTTTTGTTCCTCTATATGCAAAAGCAAATATTAATTAGTATCAATTAAAGTCGCTATAATTTTGTTTTATTAATCAACATCCTAATATGGCAATGTTTCAGCAGAAATGATTCAAGTTTCTTTAGAAAACTTTACTTGTGATATATGTATATTTGATGCATAGTTTATGTGTATACGCCTGTGTAAAAACTGTGACTAATCTGCATCGGTTTATTGGTGTTATTTAAATAGTGAAAGATACACAAGTTTAATAATTAGTAAAGGAGACATATTTATTTACAATTCATATGTGACTGCAGATCATTAGCGCTAATTGCAAACTCAATTGTATACTGAAAACTGTTTTTATGGTGAAAATGGCAAAATGTGATATTTTGCGCCTGAAAGTATGCTAATATCTGTTCTACAAAGTGCAGAATCGTCTTACTTTTCATTTTGAAGCATAGACTTCTATTTGGAAATTTAATTTTCCAAACTATTTCGAATTTATGCGCCTGAAAGTAGGCTAACCTCGGTGTTAAAACATTTTCAAGCATTTTATTCGTCTTTTATATATTGAATGAACTTCGTTTGGAAATTATTTCGGTGATTGCATTTTTCCACCTTTTATATTTCTCATAATTTTCCAAATATATTCGACAATTATGCACCTGAAAGTAGGCTAACATCAGCTCTGCAAAATATAGACTTGTCCTTCTATTTATAATATTTAGTGTTATAAAAATATTCGTTTGTTAATTTTTCATTATTTTCAAAATATTTCGTACTTATGCGCCTGGAAATATCCTAACGTCGTTCTAAATAAATATATATTTCTCTTACTACTTTTGATGTACTATTATTATAAATTAAATTGGAGGTTAAAGTTTTTTAATTAATTTTAAATGTCTCATAATTTTCCCAAATACTTACCACATATGCGCCTGGTAGTATGCTATCATAAACTAAATCTACTACTTCTTTACTTGTCGTAATCCTCCTCCTTTTAAATAATATAATTTTTTTTTTGTGGTTTTCAAAATTGTTATTATTTATTTATTCGGCGCATTAATATTTTTTTTTACTAATATACATATGTACATATAAAGAAAGCATTTTTTTTTTAATTTTTCAAATACAAATTCGATTAATTTCGTTAAAGTTCATGAATTATTTATTAATTCGGTCTAGTACTCAATATTTAGCACAATTTTAGTTTCATGAAATAATAATCTACCATCAAAATATTACCCAGATAATTCCAAAATTGTCCACAGAAATTAAAAAAAAAATGGTTTAAGATCGAGTAAAATTGTTTATATTTTTTATTGCATTTATTTAGTATCTTATTTTTTATTTTTAATAATTCATTAATACTTTTCTCCTTCTGTTCAAAGAAGTACCCTCCACTTATAATTTCTTCATTGCCACTGTTATTGTTGTAGTTCGTAATAAAAAAAAAAAATATTTTTGATGAACGCCATCGATTTGACAGATCTTGATTTGATAAAAATCTGAAATAAAGGGTGTATCAAAAAAAAAAAAAAATGTCGTGATGTTAAACCGTTCCAACCACAGTCGGCCAATTTATGATGACCCAGTGCAGCATTTCAGCTGGAATTTTGGCTATAGTGCATTGAATGTTGTCTTTGAGCTCCTCGAGCTTTCCTCGTTTATTGGTGTAAACCTTTGATTTAACATACCCACAGAGTGCCATGTTCATGTTTAGATCTGATACATGAGGCGGAGCACCGTCTTGTTAGAAATAGTGATCGTCAGCGTCGATATCATCATATTTCAGGTTAAATACGATCAATATGGTGTTATATCGATGATAAGGGCACTTCCTGTGACATTTAGAAATAAATAAGATGCGATTTTGGCGCCATACCACAATCCACGCAAAGCGGACAATTATTGGGGATGTAATGGGCGTCATCTGCGATGATCTTCGAAGAACGTGAATTTTAATAATAATCTTGGACAACTTTGAAGTGTTGTACCAAAGTGAAACGTGATTTGATGAAATTCAAACCTTACTAACATACTAACAAAATTTGGCACCCGTTACCATGACTGTTGCCTCAATGTAACCGGAACGGGCCCGGATCTTTTATCCGGTCAAAGACTGTCAACTTGGTAGAATTCTGCCGCTACAACAACAACAAGTTGTCAAAATCACTTTTATCTCTCCTACGACAGTCGGGTCTAAGTAACCGGAACGGACTCGGATTTTTATCCGGGCAAGGACTGCCAACCTTTCCTCGCAATTACTTCAGGAATGTTTTCTGACGCTACAACAATAACAAAAACACCTTTTTGGTAGACTGTATGTACGACTATTATGAGAACGTAAGAGTTTCGTGACACTCATCTCTTTGTTCCTCTGGGAAGAATTTGAACCACTACTACAATTTTTTTTTATTTTGAATGGATAATACTTTTTTACAAAATTATTTTCCACTTGATTTATGTTATAAATTAAATTTGCTTTATGTATATGCATATGTATTGGGGTGCCTAAAAAATTGCTTATTTTTTCATACTTTGAAAAATTGGGTTCCAGATACCACAAAAAATCTCTCACAGTAGTATCAGTATCTAAAATTTGAAAAAAATATTTCGTATATTTGTTAAAAATTCAGTTTCTACAAAAATGGCCTGCTTTATTTTTTTTTCGTAAACCTCAACATTCTAAAGTTAATAAATATTAAATTTTTCTTATATTAAGGCATAATTCCGCATGAATTTTATAACTCATTATGTATTCGAAAAAAACGTTCGCTCTTCGAAAAAAGTGTTACGAGCGCAATTATTTATATTTCTTACATTTTTTTAATAATAATTTAATCAATTGTGCTCAATTGAATTCTCATTAAGCTATATTTAAATTATGAATGTCCCTTAATTACTATGGACTTAAAGCAAAAATAACAGCGTTGCTATTTTTGTGCACCATACAACTGTAATTATAACTGTGCTTCTGCAATATTTGTGAACAAACATTTATATTTACAAAATGCTATCTTTTTCATATACCATATACATATACATATATGCATATAAATAAGACACATTATATGTATTTGAGTAACTAGTCATTTCATCTACAGCTTATTATTCGACTAGATTTTTTTTATTATGCTATCACATAAATATATGCAAACATATTATATGTTGTCTGTGTTGATTGCCATTCTATAATACCTAGAGCCACTATTTTCGCCCAACCTATTAACTATAGTGTATAAATGCAAATTAAGAGGACGTATACGAGCAGTAGGCAGTGTGAGGGTATCCATTATAATGACGACTACTGTCGCTAGCGTACGCTATCCTCGAATGCTATGCACCAGGAGTCGCATTCTGCACGGGCGCTGCCTTCAGCTCGCCTCGTGGAAGCTTGTTGGTATTGTTCGCTGGCGAGCGATAGGGTTGAGATTGGTTGGCCAGATTGGTATTGGGATTGGGAATGCATTGCTGCTTCGCTGGCTGGCTGGCAGTGCGCGTCTATTGTTTGATTATATGTAGGCTTATTTTTTATGATTATTTACAGCAATGGCGTGTTGGCGTACTGGCGTGCGGCGTGTTTGGTTTGTGTGTGCAACATCCTGATGTATATTCATCAGTGACTATTGTTACAAGCACCGTGGTTTGTTAGTTATGAGTAGTTTTTATGGTTAGTTGCCATCAAGGAGGAGGAGCATATTGAAAAAGGCAATATTAAAAAGTTAAACAAAGCTTAGAAAAGAAAGTACTACTAATGCCTGCTATGAAGGTGGTCTTAATTGCTAATTTTTGTTATTAAAATTTTAGATTTTTTTTTTCGTATTTGCCTTGGAAATGTGTGTATTTGTAGAGCACATTCGTGGGCTTTGATTGAATTTTAAAGGAACGATGCGCAAAAACCCATTAGTTTTAGTTTTTTTCAATATTAGGATATTTATATTATAAAGTATACAAATATATCAGATGTAGATTCTATTATCTTCACTAGCACTATCTTGACACAAAAGTGCCCGGAAATTGAAAATAAAATATTTGATTGTTATTCGATATTTATTTTGTCGCCTTCAAAGTAATCCCTAGCAGATGTAATACACTTATGTCAACGATTTTTCCAGTCCTCGAAACATATTTCATGAGCACTTTTTGGCATGACCTTCAGCGAATTTGGTTTTATCTTGTCGATCGACCGAAAATAAATTCCACGCAGCGGAAATTTGATCGATGGTATTCATTGCCTTTTTTTCTTTATAGGGGGAGCCTGATTTAGAAGCTCCAAAAATTCAATTTTTTTTTGCTTAAATCTCTTTAAAAATAATCTAAGAATATGTCCTCAAAGTTTTAGATGAGATGATGATTTGAAATATTTTCGAAGCTAGAAGGAAAACAGTGACCGAGCGTCTAGCAGATATATGAGCGATTGGGCAGAAAGCGAAAACTTTGACACGCGATTTCTCGGTTTTTCATTTTTACGATTAAAACATATGAATCTCTTTGATTTTTTTGCTTCCGATAGAAATTGCGACCTGCATCCTGCCCGCCGTCCGACAAATGCACATGCGAGATGCATCGGGCGATTGCTTCCCAAAGGCGGAATAACAAAGATTTCGTATCCAAAAAAAATTTGTGAATGATGCTTAAACATATAACTATAAAGCCTAGAAATTTCGCTTTAATCAATTATTTCTTTCCTTCCCAAAAAAAATCCCCAAAAAATCGATTTTTTGAAGCCTTTAAACCAGGCTCCCCCCTTAATCTCGGTCACAATCGTACACTTAAAAAAAAAAATCAGATTTAAGGCTTTATAGCACTCGTAGGCTTGTGTTTTTGATAAAATTGAATCACCGTAAGCAT